GGGGGGGGGGCGCGGCACACACAGGCCTCCCCTCCTCCCCCCAGCCTGTGTCTAGGCCAAACTTGCTCCATTGCCACCTGCATGAGCTAGAGCTGCTGCAGGCACTGCGCGCCAGCTCTAGCAGGACGGGGGCAGCTGGGGGCCCCCCTACAGCCCTCCAGTAGGGCTGGGAGAAGCAGGTTGCTGTGGGTTGGAAGTGAGAGGCACCAGCATGGCCTGGGGGGTGGGGGTAGGGGACTGTGGTTTGAGAGCAAGGAGCACTGGCAAAGCCAGGGGGCTGTGGGTGGGGAGTGAGGAGCACTGGCAGGACTGGAGGGGCTGTGGCTTGGGAGTGAGGGGTACTGGCAGGACCAGGAGGCTGTGGCTTGGGAGTGAGGGGCATCTGCAGGGCCAGGGAGCTGTGGGTTGAGACTGGCCATCAATGTTTACAAATGGGCCCTAGTACAAAAAAAAAAGATTGAGAACCACCGCTCTAGAACTGGGGTTCCCAATTTTTTTTATGCTGGTCCAGTTTGCTGGGCAGAATTCCCGTCCAGAACACAGGTAAAGATACTTCCACCCCCTGGGCAGGGGAAGTAGAGCACCAAACCTCAACCGTGGCTGCCGCGGGCTCTGCGGGAGGAGTTACGGGCTCTCCGCCTGGCTCTGCGGGGCTGCGGTTCGCCGGTCCCCGGTTCCTTCCAGTCTGGCAGTTGACTGTCCTGTGGACCGGCAGCTGACTCTTCACAGCTGGGGGGTTGGGCACCCTTGCTCTAGGAAACCCTAAAATCCCACACACAAGTCTGAGAGGAAAAGTGAGTTTAACCTACAGGCAGGACTGGCTCACTTCATAAATAGATCCTTGCCAGGAGACTACAGACAACAACCTGCTTCTGAAATGGGCAAGTCAGATACACAGGTAAGGAAGACCGATTTTGAGCCAGGCTTACAATGGGCAGAAACACTTTACCTTCATTTTATACAGCTGTCCTCAAACCATTCTCAGGGCACCCAAAATTTTATCTTGAGAGAGTCCCTTATATCATCATTGTTTTATCTTAGTTTCCATATTACAATCTTATAGCAAAAGATTGCAACTATTTTGAAGAAATTTTCTTCAAACATGCATATCTTGCCAGGATTGAACAGAGCCACTTAAATGCTTTATAAAAAATGCAACTAAAATGAAGTAGCTCAAATTCCTCTTTCTTCCTGCCACTAGATGATATGAGTTTTGTAAAAGGCCAAACTCATACATTTATATCTACTGTAATTACCCATGCATGAACTGCACACGTTTGAGAATTCAATGGTATTTTGAGACAAAGAGACCAATTCCCCACCATCCCCCCCTTCCACAAAGCCTTGTTTATTCATCATCATAAATATTTTTTTAAATGCTGTTTTCAAAGATTTTTTTCTACATTTTTATCAATTTAGAATAGGAAAGACATTGAGTCTAGATGTGACTTACTAGTTTCTCCAAACTGAAGACAAAAGAACTCTATAATATGAATATCTGCTTTAAAATAATTCTGAGCTAATCTAAATACTTTCTTTAGAAATGGATAGGAAGCCAGCCATATTCTTCAGAGGAATCTGACTGAAGGAAACAAAGTAGAAGCTGCCCAGAAAGAGAATACCTGGTTTACTTTCAATAACTAAATACAAGTGAAATGCAGATAGCATATGCAAAAGTAAGTTTGAAAATCTAAAACTTTGTGATATAGCAAAACCGCAAGATCAATTATCTTGGATCTAGATCTTATACAGGTACATGACATTTCTTTTTTTGAAAGGTTTTCAAGTTCTATGCAACAATAATGTTAACTACTAAAACATTACTTTATTGTGAACCACTGGAAACCAAGAAAGAGTGCTTTTACTCATCTCTTTTCACTATTTCTTTTTTTTAGGTGGCAGCTGAATTATACTTTGTATTGAATTTTAAGCAGGCATGGATTGGGATTTTAGAGTAAGCAAAAAGGAGCATGTACTGTCATGATACTTAAAGAGTAAAGCTAACTTCCTAGTACATGCAGGCAGCTAACTGCATGGGGGCAGTTTTGACCTCTCCCCCTCATTACTAAATCAGGACTATGAAAAAGATACCGAAGCTATATTTCAATTTTTAAAAATGAAACAACTAAGGAAGTTCAGAGTATTTCAAATTCAAATAAATTTGGAAAATACTGAACACTTCACAATTTTCAGTAATATAGTTTTCCGCCATCTTTAAATTAGTTATTAAGAAAATGTGAATACAAGATTAAATTAATTCATCTGTTGTTTGCAACAGGCTGAGATCCCATCTCAATACATTTTGGAGGACTGAACCGAGTATACACTGCCTTTTGTTTCAGATGACAGGAAAGTAGAACAAGTTAAGGCTACATCGCCATCCAAATTACCTGTTGAATGCTTGAAAACACAGCATTCCTAGTTGATTACCTCCACTCTGCCATTAAACAACTTCAAAAAGCTTTAATGTATGCAATGACAGCCACAGTTGTGTGATGCACATTTTCCAAGTTTTAATAGACACAAAAGTGAGTCCATTGTACTTAAGACACTACACTGATTTCATTCTATTGCGTGTCCTGCTCCAATTACATTTCTCAGAGTACAGTATTGAGTAAAAGTTTCATAGCTTTAAAATTAACAAGTGTGTGAAATCTGTAAGTAAAATAAGCAGCAGCAATAATTTTGGGTTTGTTTGTTTGTTTTATCAAGAGTAGCTAACATTTTAAGTAATAAATACATTCCAATTTGTGGTATTTACTATTCCCCTAGTTCATTGCAGTATTACTTGTCAATTCTCTTGCTTTAGGTTAAGATATCCTTAAGACTTTCCTGTCAGCCTCACACCAGAAGAGTCTCCTAACTCCAGTCCAGGTGCCCATCACCCTTCATAGATGATAAGCAGTGCAATCTGACAAGGAAACTCATCCTGCTGTCATGTATATGGCAACCACAAGATTCTCCTGGGGAGCATGTCAGGATGTTTACAGACTTCAGGAAACTCTAGGAGAACAGCTGTGCTCTTATCTTCTGTTACCTTGAAGAAAGTGAAAGAGGGAGAGGTTACTGCAAGTGGCACAGAACTGACCAATATTAGCTGAGAGGCACACGCTCCATACACTCCTTGGTTTCATTTAAAAATAGGCTGAAATTCTCTGGGTCTAAATTCACATAGCAAACTGAAGACTGTAGTTGTTACTGTTTTATAAAGAGACCCCTCAAGCTAACAGATTTTAAGAGAGAGCTGAAAGCAATGTTTGGCAGTATTTTTTTTTTTTGTGATGATAGCAGTCATGTAGTTCTGTTGGTGAACAGAATCCGTCAGATATCTAGCTTAGTATTAAAAGAAACACCCCCCCCCCCTTACACACTATACATACCGCTTCCCAGTAAGAGAAATATTATGAACTAATTAACCAGAAACCTGTGCAAGAAGAGTCCTATCAAAAGCATTTAGAATAAAGGTATAGCACCATATTGTCTTACTACCTGCACTTCTCAGGAAGTGGTGAAGCAAATGGAAGGTTTTTCTTGAAATCCAGTCTTGGAGTAACTTAAGTTTTTTTGCCTTGTTAGACAGGTTTATGATGCCAAATATCAACTGGATAATTTAGGGCCCACGTGGAAAAAAAAATACATTTGACAAATCAAATGCACCTCTATAATAAAAAGATGAGAGCCTGACTTTCAAAACAAGATTTTTTTCTTTTTAGAACAGAAAACAACTATATTTCACATTTCAAGTTTAATGGTATCCTAAAATGAAGGGAAATGACTGCATGATATTTCCATCAGATCTGTTCATATTGCATGTTTTCCTCTCAGTATTCTTGGAGGGACATTAATGCTCCCAACATCCCAAATCCAGGCCTCTGAGCAGAAATCATTCATACCGAACTACATCAAACTGACACTGTCCCATTTAACTGTTCTCCGAGGAATCAGACATTCTCAATGCTATTTGCATTTGGTTTTTCAAGTAAAAATGTTCCAACATAAAAAGAAGCTGTGAACTCAAAATATTCAAGGTGTTGTATTTGCCACTCTATGTTATGGAGCAGCGTCTGATAAAACCGTTAGGCAGACGGCAAGATTGTGGAACATGTCATCTGGTCTGCAGCAGTCTTGGGCAGACAACTCATGTGGTAGTCTTGGTTTGAAAAAATATACCCTTATTAAATATTGCCTATTCCAATCTTTCTGTTTTGCTAGCTTCGCTGTCCAAGATGAACTTACACTGTGCTGGAGAGTTGGGTTATATTTTAATGCAAACTATTTATCTTGAAGACTGACAGGAGTAAACACTACCCTGCTCCTTCACCTTTCTTAACTAGGCATATGAGTCAGTAGAGCAAGTGACAGAAAAGTGAGTGGAAAAACAGAGCAATGCAAGACTTAAATGTTAACACTTGTTAGCAGCAGAAAACAGGTCACCATAAAGAACTACAGATGCAATTCAAAACAGGCCTAACCTTAATAAAAAGTATTCAGTAATCAGTCCTAACCCAGGTTGACGCCTAGTAATTCACAATGAGTCAGTAATTTAAGATTTATGGCCTCAGATTTGTTTCCCAATTAATACCTTAAGTAGATGTAATATTACAGCTTAAAGATGAAAGTTATTTTAAAACCAGATCATAATTTAAGCCTAAAAATTTTGAGTTACAAAACTAAACACTCCTAAAAATTATTTCTTTTCACATCCCCCATGAACATCTACACCAGACACTACAATGTTTCAGCAAAAGACTGTACTCAAGGATTTCATGCACACATTGGCTACTGAGCAAATTCACAGCAAAAAACCAAACATACAAAAAACCAGTCGTTGTGCTACCAGTTTGTTGCAATGTCCTGCAGGTGGTTCTGTCTGCAGGGTGCAGGTGGTCTGTCTCCATAAGGGTGCAGAAGTTACCTGCAGCATACGTCTTGCAAAATGCAAACTCACAGTTTGAAAAGAGAAAAAGAGGTTAAATGCGACAGCAAGTAGGACTTTCAAAAGCACCAAAGTCAGTAACTTAGGTGCTTCAGATGATCCCACCCAGCTGTACCAAGTATGAATAACTAACATAATTTGCATTTATTTTGTTTGCAAACTTGTTTATTTAAAAAGGAAACAACAAAGCTAAACTGAAGCCATTTTCCAAACTGAAGTTATCATTGAGCACCATTTATTTCATGATATAATAGGGAATATTAAGCACATACAAACCAAACGGGTTTCTGGTGTTTTGAACTGTTGAAAAATTACTATTTAAAAAGCCACCATGTTCAACACACCAAAACACTGTACTGTGAGATACTTTCAACATAAGACTGCAAACACTGTGCCCCCTCCCCTGTTCTCTTTTTAGAATTCAGCCTGTTCAAGGGTGTTGCTTAAAGAAATTGTTCCAAGATGAAGATCACAGATTTTTTTCTTGCAGCTGAAATTTGATACTACTGGCCAAACTGCAAACTGGCTTTTACAATAGTTTTGATGAACTCTCTGTCCCTAAGTGGTGAAACCCTATAGCTTCTGCTCAGATTCAGCTACAGTTTTGGTGCCATTACCTAGTGGCAGATGCAATTACCTTGAATACAGGAGTGCATGGCTCAAAAATGAATTAGGAACTTTCTTCAAAGAGCAAAAATACCTACATTTAGCATGCCTCAAAGTAGACTCACCAGTTTTGAAAATGCAACCCATGCTACTAGTGCAAGAAGATTTATCATACAAATAAAGCAAAATAGTTCACCTAGTTACATTGATGCTTCAGCTGTCTAGCACTCCCTCAAAATGAAGCTAGTTTGAATAACCTGATATTCAGGACACTGCCCAGTCCCTGAAGGTTTACTCAACTATAAATACATACATGATACATCACCTGATTCAGGACAGCAGCATGATTAGCAGCTAGGGCACTGTACTGGAAGTCAAAATTAGGGCCTGAACAATTCATTTCAGTAGCTTATTCATGAAAATATACAGACCGGGGTTCATTAAAACTATTTGCATGTTCAGGATCAATTTGGCAAATGGTTTCAGCTGAGCAGAACAGTTTGAGACATTCTTTTTAAGGTTAATTTCATGAGTGGACTTGTGCAATGATGTCTTCCTCACATATTAGGGCCTGGTAGTTAGGATACAGAGGTGGGAGTCAAGTTCAAGACTACTCCCAATGAAGCACAGATGGGGCAATCACAGCCATCTCTTCCATTTTGTGAGAATCCTAGGGCCCAAGTGTGCCTTGCGACTCTAGCCCTTCATTTTAAAGTTCCCTTGGTTTTATTAAAACACCTTCATGTGAAGCTTCCCTTTTTTTTTAAAAAACAAAAAACAAATTGTTTCAGGTCAATCCCACCCCCCCCCCCCTTTTTTTTTGTTTTGTTTTGTTTTTTTTAACTTTCTTGGCCAAACTCTCCCCCTTCCCCAGTTTGCAGTCCTTGTCAGGAAACCCAAGATCTCAGCAACCTCACTTGTGACATCCCAGGTAAGCCACTTGACTTTGTGCCTCAGTGCGTACCTGCAGAAGTGTTTCACGTAACTAGATGTTTCACGTAACAATAGGGGAGAAAAATCTCATGCCTTGATTATGTTGAGCCTAGCTCTGTTGTTCCTAGTGGTCCCTATAATCCCCATTAGATTTGGCATTTATATTGCTGGAAAGGTGTGTAAATCTGAGCCTAACAATGTTGGACAAAAATCCAAAATGTCTAGTTTAAATACTACTGGGATTAATAGGTACTACACACATGCAATACTGCTACATTTACAATCAATCAGCAAGCCCTGCAACCTGTTCAGGGATCTGATATGTGAGCAGGCAGATGCACATTAGCTTGGAGGTGAACACTGAGAAGGATGCGATAGATGCATTTACACCCCCCCCCATGCAATCATTATGCCTAGGATAACATTCAGCATCTTCACCAGGCTCTCAGCTGTGTTTGAGGGCTGAGGTCTAGTATGAAACTTGGGTAAAAAACAAACACAAAAAACACAAAACCACCAACAATCAAAAAACCCAAAACAAAACAAAAACCCCGAGTTATACACTACCTACAAAGGTTGCATTACCAAGGGGAGTCAAGATAACATCCTGTTCCAAGAAGCAGTAGGCAAGCCCCTATTGACTCCAAGGTACACTGTTTTTACTGCCATGACAGACACTGTCACTCTTGTAAAAGATTTCTCAGGCAGTAGAAGCTAGAAACATTATTCCTCGGCGAAGATTAGACAATGGGAGATCATGTTGGTCGAGCACTAGATCCATCACAAAAGCTGTACCTCAGCTTGAATACATTTGGAATATGGCAGTGGGCAGGAGGAGGCAGGTATGTGTGAACAAAACACAAAGGGGCCATGCTTACAACACAGACTTCTGTTGCAAAATTAATTCTATGATGTACCTCACCAGCAGCGGTGTAGGGACACAGCCAGGAACCTGGGGAACAAGGACAGCAGCAACTTTTGGTTGCTGCCCCAATCACAACTGCCACTTGTTTCAAGCTCCTCTCTTCCCCCCCACAAACAACCACATGGGGTGGTTGCCCTGGTCTAGTTACACTACTGCTCACCAAGCCTTTTATATTTGGGATGCTGATTTTAGGTCACCACAAGGAAGTTTCCTCTCTCACCCCCTGTCTCTCTCCAGTTTAGTTATGCTACTTTTGTCTTCTATTTGTTTTGCTTGTAAATGCTTTGCTATAGTAGACTGTGTTAAAAACTTGCTTAGGACAAATCTTCTATAAGAAGAAAAGACAAATAACGAAACTGGTCAGGAATTATTCTCAGAAGCTATTTTACTGTGCCATGTTATATTGATGCCTTAAGAGGGAAACTATTATTCCTCACACTAATTCACAAAAGAGAAATATTAGCTTTCATAGCTAAATGAAAATACAGAAGTAAAACATATGTATATCTTGGCCTGAAATGCTCATGGTTTTTCAGTGACTAGCAAGTTTAAGGGGCCACAAGTTGAGCACTCAAAGACATCCTTTAGAGCACAAGTAGGTCAGCACTTTCTGGAATTCATACCCTTAAGCCATCTCAAACTGGGACCAGCCAGGAAAGTCAGTGCCAAGCATCTTGTTTTAGGAGACTGTTGCTCACCATTCTTCATTTAATTCATCAGGAATGGATTCCAAATGCTAACTCACAAGTGACATGACTGTATGCAGACAAAGCAGAAAAGAAAGATTTTTCAGCCTCTGACCAAGTAACCAAATAGCAGTAATGTACCTACAGGCTGCACGCACACGTTCAAATAGTATGGGCAAATTCTCTTGGATTTGTTCTCCTGCTGGAGAAAAGTCATACACAGAAATGCCTGAACAGACGTTTCAATGCAGAGCCCCTGAAGAGTGGAAAGCCTGAAGTGTTGATGCTACACACCTTGGGTAGGGAGCGGGAGAATGCCTTGTGCACACACATGCTCTGCAGATGTCCTTGGTCTGCCTGCAGATAAATGGTAGCACTGCACAGAGCAGCCACGATTGGCTGACCAAGACTGCTCAGACTCAGCCTGCATCCCTTTGAAGCTCACTGCAGGGACTGTGAGGGGATCATGTTCTGCCTCATGCTTATCTGGAACAGCAGAGTCCAGCAAGTGACATGTTCCTGAAGGGAGTGAGGGTGTGGAAGAGAGAATGTGGATGGGAGCAAAGCACCCTGGGTTGCTGGAGGACTGTGGTGTGGCTCCTCTCAACAGAGAAACTCTGTACATGGCCTATATTTAATACCATGGTAGACAGCATGATTTTCCAAAATGGGCTAATTATTGCTACCCCAAAGAATTTTTTTAAAAGTTTGGAATCTTGGCTTCTTCATATTCTGGAGAAAAGGGAGAAAAAGTCACAAAAGCTGCAACATTTTCTAAAAATAAAAGAAAAGAGGATAGATCCTTATCCAAATCACTTGAGTTTAGGAGATGGAGTTTTAAGCAAAACATCAAATATCACAACAATTGGAAACACTATTGTGCCACTTCATAGAGAGGCTGTTCAATTGACACCTGAAGATTAGAACCCGACACAAGTTGCTTACAGGGCTAAGGCTTAGCAGTGCAGTGATCACATCTGCATAGACCGTGTTCTGGGCTACTTATGTGGATCCAGTTACAGGATCCAGCCTTAAGGCAGCAAAGTCATACAGCTACAACACTGGCAAAGTCAGTAATTTGTAAATGTCACCTGTGAGCTAGGAACAGATACCTCTTAACAAAAAGGTCCAGAAATCTTCCTACAAACCAAGCGCCTATTCCCCCTCCTGCCCAACGCACAAGGATTGACTGAGGACAAAAAGATTATGCTGGAGAGACTGGGTCCTCATTAGATGCAATAAAAGGAAACTAATGTAACTGCACACCAAGCAACTGGTCAACTATTGGGACAGAATCTGATCTGGTACTCTACACTGCATTGGTGCATATAAGAAGAGACAGTAGGTAGCATATTCACTAGTGAGACTCAAATGTGTCAAAACAAGCTCATTCAAGCCACTGGAGTGATATACTGAGCGCTTTGTTATTGCTGAAGTCAGGAGGCAGACCATAGTAAAAAATCATCATATATTGTGAGCTAAATCACATTCTGGGGAAGGATGACTATGCCAAGAAGGAAAGCAGCATAAAGGCCTTATACCTGCTCACCCTAAACCTACCATTACATGCATGTCACAGCCGAAGACATTTAAGAGAGAAAGAGAGAGATAGATAAATAAATAAATAAATAAATAATCAATCAGGTATAGAAGGAAGCAGTTCCTGCTTACCAAGCCACGTGGCAATCCCTACCCAGGTGTAGCCAGGTTGCCAGCATTCACACTGCACTGTGTAACATTCATGACCTGAAGCTTTACCAGAGCATCCTAGAACAAGCTTCATCAAATTCTCCCCATTCGCCCTCTGGCCCCAGAGGAAGGGTAAGTGGGCACAGATCCTAAACTTAGCTCATGGCCAGACTTCCTCAGGAAGGGCAGAATGCTGCTGCATATTTCAAAGATGAAAATAAACATTCAGCTTTAACATATGAACTTAAAACAGCAAGTGAAAACACTTGCATGTTTCTTTAAAAAAAAAAACAAAACAAAACCAAAAAAAACCACCCAGGTGTTCTAAGACAGTAGAAGTTTTACCACAATAAGCTTTAAGGCTCAACTCAGGGTCACTGATTCAGACTACAAAATGGGTCACGGATACAAATTTTAACTGTTCATCACCCACTGGCAGGTTAATAGTAGCAGTAACAGCTGACTCAAATTAGCGAAGCATCACATGGCAATCCTTCCAAAACCTAAAATACTTCATGCATCTACCCCTTGAAAAAGGCTTCTGCAAAACCAGTATGTAGGGTGGGGGCAAGTGACACCTTTTGTAACAAGTTATTAAAAGTCTGAAGCCATCAGATACAGAAGTAACTTCTGGCATTTTTTATTGGAAAAGGTTGCTCTATAACCAACTTCCCAGTTTTGTTTTGAGTCTTTTGTTCTTTATCCCTCCACAGACAGTTAGAAAGTCTCTTCTGTTCTTAAAAGGTGACTGTGCTGAACAGCAGCTATTCTTGCAAGAGGAATCTGAAAGTGCTTTTTGGTATTTTGCAGTGAACTCTGTCTTTAATTTATTTCCCTAAGACAAACACTGGAGATCCACTGAAGGAGACCTCAAAAAAGACTGAGGAAAGGCTTGTGAATTTTCATGCTTTATTTAGCATTTGAAAGGCCACTCTCATAGGTAGGGCTATAAAGAAAGAACAAACAGAAATGCACACTTAGGCAGGGACAAAAACTGATATTAACCCTAGTCTTCCCTCGTTTGGCTGGGGGGAAAATGTAAGGAGACCTTTGCTTTAACAAAACTCCAGTCCCCACCCCTAAGTCTTTATTCAGTGCTCCCCTTTTACATTATTTTGACTTTTTAACCAAAGACTAAAATTCCCTTTTAGACTGCTCAGCTTCAGGCCCTTTCACGCATTCTCCAATCAGAAGAGGAAGTAATGCTATTTCCAAGGTTAAGTGTCAAGGTTTGGGGGGGGGGGCGGGGGTTGGAGATATCATAAAGCAGCAAGAGGCACTCAATCTGCTTCCCTCTTCCTTCTTGGGTCACCTCCTAAAGCTGCAGTGCACATTCATACAACTTCCCAACATGAGGAGGCCATTTATATTTCTAACAAATGAGCAGCATCTGCAGCTGAACTAACAGATCTGCATAGCAAGAGGCAAATGCAAATGCTGCAGAAAGCTGCTATTTCTCTAGTTTTCTCTGAACCTAATCCTTGCAGTATCAGATGCATCTGTAAGAAAAAAAAAGTGAATTAGAACAATCAAAACTAGAAACATTTCTCTGGGGTTAAGTGCGTCTTAAAATAAGATCTGCTATTAAATATTGATCTGCTCTGAAGAAATATAGTTCAACACCAATATAGTCAACTCCCTCCCTCAAGTTCTTGAGCAGTGTGAAGTACTATAATCAAATCATGAGGAAAGGTGGCCCCCAACTGAAGAGTTCAGAATTGCCCCAGAGTTCAGCACTCCACCACAACCTGGACAATTCCATAGAGTTGCACGGCAGGAGCATCTTATATTTGGTTATCTTTAGGCAGCTGGATCACCCTGAAGGACAGAAACCACAATGTTTGCTGGAACTGGCTACACAAAGGAGTTTATAGCTGTGACCAAACAAGTGCACAGCTGCAAACAGCTTTAAAAATGGCCCAGTGGGTGAAAGTCTGACCCCTCATTGCATGACGTATCAGATACAGACATTTCAAAATGCAGCATTTTTTTTTTTAAATAACTTGTCTGCCGAGCTCCCAGCCTGTTGCCATGTTCAGAATTGGAGGGGGGGG